ATTGGATGGGGATGGGAGGGTTGAGGATGGATGAATGATGAGGGATTTTATGGAGGGAGGGATGAGGGATGGATGATATGGATGGAGGATGGAGGGAGGTGTGGTTTGGGGTTTGGGTTGCGGATGGTTTGGTGGTGGGGGTTTGGTGGGTGGTTGGTTTTGGGGGTTTGGGGTTTTTGGTGGAGGTTTTGGGGGTTTGGGGGGTTTTGGGGGTGGTGGGGTGAGGGGATTTTTTGGTGTTTTGGATGGAGGAGGGTGGGGGTGGTGGATGATGGGGGGATGTTTTGGTTGGTGGGTTGATTTTTTTTTTGGGTTGGTATGGATGGTTGTTGGGGGATGGTTTTGGGTTATTTTGGGGGGGGGGGTTTTTGGTTGGGGGGTTGTTGGATGTGGGGGGAGGAGGGTGGATAGGGGGAGGATGTTGGAGGGAAGGGTTTAGGTTGGTTGGGGGGGGGGTGGGCGGGGGTTGGATGTTGGAGGTTGGTGGGGAGGGTTGGAGGATGTTGGTGTTGGGGTTGTGGTGGGAGGGTGGTTGGGGTGTGGGTGATGGTGGTGGGGGAGGTTGGGGGAGGGATCTGTGGGGGTGGGGGTTGTTGGACGGGAGTTGGTGGTTGGTTGGGAGGGCGTGTGGGGGGAATGGGGGGTGGGGTGTGTTGGTGGGGGGGTTGGGGGTTGGAGGTGGGGGTGGAGGGGGTTGTTTTCCCGTTTTTTTTTTTTTGGGTTTTAGGTTGGGGTAAGGTGGGGTTTGTTGTGGGGGTGGGGGGTTTTTTGGGGGTGGTTGGGGGGTTGTTGAGGGATGGTGGAGAGGGTTGGGGGGGGTTTTGGGTGGGGTTTGGTGGGGGGGGTGGGTTTTTTGATGGAATAAGGGATGTTGGTGTTGGACGTTTTTGGTTAGGTGGTGTTTGGGGGTGGGGTGGTGTGGAGGGGTTGGGGGTTTTGGGGGTGGTTGTTGGGGGGAGGTTGTTGTGGGGGTGGGGGGTGTTGGGGGGGAAAGGGGGGTTGGGTGTTGGTTGTTTTTGGTGGTGGGGGGTTGGGGAGGCTTTTTTTGGTGGGGGGGGTGGGGGGTTGAGGTGGAGGAGGTGTTTGGGTGGGAGGGTTTTTTTTTTTGTTGGAGGTATATGGATGGATGGGGGTGGGGGTGGGTGGATGTGTATGTGGTTTTTTTTGTTGGGTGGGGGAATGGGGGGATGGTGGGAGGTTGGTTGTTGGAGGTGGTTTTGATTTTTTGGTTGAGGTGGTGGGGGTGGTGTGGGGGGTGTGGGGAGGGTTGGGGGTGTGGATGGTTATGGTGGTTGTGGAGGTTTTGGGTGGTTGGGGGGGGGGTGGGGGGTGGGTGGGGGTGGGGTTGGGGGGTTTGTTGGGGGTGGGGGGTTTGGTGGGGTGGGGGGTTGGGATGGGGTTGGGGTTGGTGGAGGGGGTGGGGGTGGGGTTTGGAGGTGTGGATGATGGGATGGTTGGAGGGATATGCAGGGAGGGGTTGTGGTTGGTTGGATAGGGAATGGAGGGAAATGGATGAGGGTTGTGTTTTGGGGTTTGGTAGGTGGTTGGGGGGTTGTTGGTGGAGGTGGTAGGAGGGTGGTGGTTGGTGGGGGTGGTGGTTTGGGGGTTTTGGAGGATAGGATGGAATGATATGGATGGTTTGGCCCAGGGATGGTTTGGAAATATGGTTTTTTTGGAGGTGATGGTGGATGATGGTGTTGTTGGATGGAGGGTGGATGGGGGTTGGTGGGGGTGGTTAGGTTGGTTGATTTTTTGGGGTTGGGTTGTGGATGGGGGGTGGTTGTGGGGGAGGTTGTGGGGGTTGTGGGAGGATGATGGTTGGGGGTTTGGTGAGGGAAATGGGGGAGGATGGATGGTTGTTGGATGGATGGTTTTGGAAAGGGATGGATTTTTTTTTTGGAGGGAATGAGGGGCCGAGGTGGGGATGGTGGAGGGGATGGGGGAGGTTTGGGGGGTGTTGGGGTGGTTGGTGGTGTTGGGGGGTGGGTTGGTTTTGGGTGGTTGAGGTTGTGGTGGTTGGTTTGGAGGGGGTGGGTTGGTTTTTGGGAGGGTTGATTAAGGTGGGGGTGGGGGGGGGTTTGGGGTTTTTGGGGGGTTGGTGGCTTGGGGTGGGGGGTGGGGGATGGGGGTGGGGTGTTGGTTGGGGGCTGGTGTTGGGGGGGGTTTGGAGGTTATGTGTTAAGGTTTTAGGGAAGATTGGTTTTTTTGGGGGATGGGGGAGGGAATGGGGGAGGATGATTTTTTAAGGGAGGTGTGGGGGGGAAAGAGGAGGTTTGGAGTCGGAAAAGGGGGTTTAAAGTAAAGGAATGAAAAATGAAAAAAGATAACTGGTGGGGTGGGGGTTTTAATTTTTTTTAGGGAGGGTTGTGGGGGGGAAATTGGGGGGAAGGGTTTGGACAAAATTGGCTGTAGGGGTTAGGGGAATAAATTTTACAAAGAAATTTTTAAAAAGGAGGGAAAGGGTTGGAGGGGGGGAATGGGTTATGGTTGGAATTTTTGGGTTGTTAAAGGAACCCGGGGCGGGAAGAAGACTAAAAGAGAAAAAATTTAAAAAGATTCCCTTTTTAAAATCCTATTGCGGGGGAAAAAGTGGGCCCATAAAGAGGGGGAAAATTTTAAAGCGGGGAAGGGCCGTCCCGGGCCTCCTCCCCGGGGGGGAATCCGGGAACCCCTCCCAGGGACGTCCAGGAGGCATCTGAAAGAAATGCCCAAAGCCCCCCTAAAATAAATTTTTCTCGGGGGGAGGAGAAGGGGTTTCTAAACTGACCCACCCCTGTTTTCCCGAACCTCCTCCCCTTTTCTCAAAGGGGGAAGACCCCAACCCAACCCTGGGGAGGAAGCTCATTTCGGGCCGTTTGGGAACCCCGGGATCTCGTTCTTTCCCCGGTCATGCCAAAAGGTGCCCAAAGGGGTGAGGGTAGGAACGTAGACCGAACGGTCCTTGGCTGTGCCAAGAAATCCTGTCCAAAAAAGTTTTTTGGAACCAGGCCCCGGTGCCCAGAGGGCAGCCCTGTGGGGATTCCAACAGGCACCGGGGGAACAGGCCCGATTTAAATTTCCCCGGCAATGCAAACCAGACTCCGCTCCCGTTTTGTACAGAAAAACGGAGGGGCCCCTTAAAAAAAGGGCCCCCGGGACTCCTACTCCTGGAGCCCCCCCCCACAGGGCAGAAACGAGGGAAAAGGCAAATGCCTTCTCCAAGTCCAAAAAACACATTTGGACGGGTTTGGGCAAACTCCCAAGAACCCTCAAGCACCGTGCACGGGTGTAGACCCTTTTTCCACTGTTCCAGGGCCCAGGACGAAAACCACCCTGCTCCCCCTGCACCAAGTTCGACAATCAGCCGGACCCCTCCTTTTCCAGCACCCTGGAAATGGGCCCTTTTCCCGGGGAGCGGGAAATTGTGATTCCCCGATATTTGGGAACACACCCTTTGGGGCCCCCTTTTTTTTTTTGGGGGGGGAACCCAAAACCCCATTTTCCAAATTCAGGGGGACGGGTTTTTCCGACCTCCATGCGATGCTGAATAGACTTTAAAACCATCAGCCCAACAACATCCAGACTTTAAGATATCGGGAAAGGATCTCGTCCCCCCCCGAACCTTGCCCCTTGGGTTTTTTTTTTGACCCCCCTCGGGCCCTTAAAGCCGGGGTGATAACGAATCCACCCCAAGCACCCCGCCCTATTTTTCCCCCCCAAAGGAAGGCTTGTCTTTTCGGGTTGAGGAGATCCTAAAAGGAACCTTCCCCCCCCGACAAAAATCCCCCTTTCAAGGTCACAGCTCCCCCCCCCCCAAACTAAAAACATTGTTGGGCAAACCATTTCCCTTTCCCCCCTCCGGAGGGCCCCGGGAACCTTTTGCCAGAATCATTTTTAAAGGCCCAACCGATAGTTTTTTTCCATGGCCTCTCCCAAACCCCCTCCCAGGCCCGAGTTTTTTCCCTTTGGAAAACCCGCCCGGGCCCACCCCGGGGGCCCTTTCAGGGAAACCTGCTTGCGGGTTTTCGGGACCCCACAACCACCCAACTCGATGGGAACCCTTTCTTCAGTTTGGGACAAAACCCTTTTATTATGGGTGTCCCACCCCCGGGGTTTTTCGGGGATTGCCACCACAACAGGAAACCGGGAAAAACCTTACAGCCCCCAGCAAGGGGCACTCCCAAAAACCCAATAGGGGCCAGAGAACCCACCCCCTTCCCGAAATCCTTTCTCCAACCTCCCTCGGAACCTGAGAGAAGCGCCCCCGGGAAAGGTGGGATTTGAACACGTCCCCTGACGGGGGGGTTTTCCCCCAAACTTTCCCCCAGCAGGCCCCCTCACAAAACACTTTTGGGGCCCTGCTGAGCCCTTTCAGGCTTCCCCCCCTTCCCAAAGCTAATCCAGCCACCCCCCCATTTTGGGGTCGGGACAGCCCCCCCCCTCTCTTCACCCAAAGTGTCAAAGACAGCACCCCAAAAACCCAAAGATACAAACTCCAAAGCGAAAACGACCTTGGGCCTGGGGTTTCCTGGTGCCAGGGCACCGAAAGACATCCTTATGCTTGAAAAAGGTGTTCTTTTATGGACAATCCATAAATTTAAACAAAGCCCCAAATAATGAGACACCATTTCGGGTTTTCAGAAGTTTGGGGGGGCCCTTTCCTCCCGATAAAGCCCCTCCAGGTGTCCCCTTTTCTTTCCCCCCCGCGGGGCTTTGAAAGTCCCCCTTTTTAAATAAAGGAACCCGGGAGGGGCCTTTCAAAAACCCCCCTCCCAAAGGGGTAATTGCAAAGAAAGGCCTGGTACTCAGCCCATAGGCCGAAACAACTGTCAGAGTCCTCCCTTCGACCTGAAGGCGAAGGGTTGCGACCCTCTCATCTACCGGGGTGAACTCCAACACGAGACGGCTGAGCTGAGGGGAGACAAGCAGCCCCACCCCCGCCCTTCGCCTCTCCCCGCGGGTCACTCCAGAGTAGAAGAGAGTCCAGCCTCTCTCAAGGAGCTGGGTTCCAGAGCCCTGACTGTGCGTAGAGGCGAGCCCAACTATTTCTAGCCGGTATCGCTCCACCTCCCGCACAAGCTCGGGCTCCTTCCCCGCCAGTGAGGTGACGTTCCACGTCCCCAGAGCCAGTTTAAGCGCCCGCCGATCAGGTCGCAGAGGTCTCCGCCTCTGACTGCCGCCCAATCCTCTATGCACCGGTCCCTCATGGTTCCCCCTGCAGGTGGTGGGCCCACTGGGGGATGGCCTCGCGTCGCTCCTTCCGGCTGGGCCTGGCCGGGTCCCGCGAGGAAGAGCCCGACCACCAGGCGCTCGCCGACGAACCCCAACCCCAGGCCTGGCTCCAGGGTGGGGTCCCGGCTTTGCCGTACCGGGCGACGTCACGTACCTCGCTGTAGTCCTCGTCATAAGGGTTTTTGAACCGTTTTTCGTCTGACCTGTCACCCAGAGCCTGTTTGCCTTGGGAGACCCTACTAGGGGCATTTAGCCCCCGACAACATAGCCTCTGGGATCACTCAGGCGCTGAAACCCCTCCACCACGTTAAGGTGGCGGTTCAAGGAGGGGGCTGATGGAATGATTCAGATTACTGCTGTGGATTATACTCTGAACAGGGACTGATTTTACAGACCCACCCAACCAGGAGGTCTGCGGCTATAGAAATATATATGATAGACACAGTTTGTGTAAGCTTTACATGTCAACATTACAGCAATATTTAATATCTATTTAGCTTCTCTGCACCCCCCCCGGCGTTAGAGATAGTCGAGCATAATTTCCCTCTCTGCCCCCCCCCTCCATCTCACCAAAGTGCTCTCTCTTGACAGAAGGAATCCTGCGGATGTGTCTCTTGATGAGAACGTGGAGATGGGAGAAGATGATGAAGGGTGGAGCCAGGCAGGGTCTGGAGTGGTACTCCACGATGAGGCTGTAGCGCTGAAACTTCCAGTAGGTGTCGCTGTGCTCCTGTACTTTGGAGAAGGTGTAGCTGCAGACAGAGAAGGGAAGTGATGCCAGAGCGCTGCAGCAATCAGAAGTTAGCTGGAACCTTAGTCTACCTGAACATGGCGATGAGCAAGTTGACCAGCACTATGTTGGTGAACAGCAGATAGATGACCAGGAGGATGACCAGCAACCAGTTAGCATAGATACTCGGACAGGGTTCAGCTCCTGCTTCGATCTCTGTGTGGTTTGAAGAGCACCTGAAGTCCTCCATTTTATCAGCTGGAATGAAGAACGACAGAGGAAACGTCAACAGCTGATCTTTAAACCAAGAACGACAGAGGAAACCTCAACAGCTGATCTTTAAACGAGGAAACGTCAACAGCTGATCTTTAAACGAGGAAACGTCAACAGCTGATCTTTAAACGAGGAAACGTCAACAGCTGATCTTTAAACGAGGAAACGTCAACAGCTGATCTTTAAACGAGGAACGACAGAGGAAACGTCAACAGCTGATCTTTAAACGAGGAACGACGGAGAAAACGTCAACAGCTGATCTTTAAACGAGGAAACGTCAACAGCTGATCTTTAAACGAGGAACGACAGAGGAAACGTCAACAGCTGATCTTTAAACGAGGAAACGTAAACAGCTGATCTTTAAACGAGGAACGACAGAGGAAACGTCAACAGCTGATCTTTAAACGAGGAACGACGGAGAAAACGTCAACAGCTGATCTTTAAACGAGGAACGACGGAGAAAACGTCAACAGCTGATCTTTAAACGAGGAACGATGGAGGAAACCTCAACAACTGATCTTTAAACGAGGAACGATGGAGGAAACGTCAACAGCTGATCTTTAAACGAGGAAACGTCAACAGCTGATCTTTAAACGAGGAACGACGGAGAAAACGTCAACAGCTGATCTTTAAACGAGGAAACGTCAAAAGCTGATCTTTAAACGAGGAACGACGGAGGAAACGTCAACAGCTGATCTTTAAACGAGGAACGACGGAGGAAACGTCAACAGCTGATCTTTAAACGAGGAAACGTCAACAGCTGATCTTTAAACGAGGAACGACGGAGAAAACGTCAACAGCTGATCTTTAAACGAGGAACGACGGAGGAAACGTCAACAGCTGATCTTTAAACGAGGAACGACGGAGGAAACGTCAACAGCTGATCTTTAAACGAGGAACGACGGAGAAAACGTCAACAGCTGATCTTTAAACGAGGAACGACGGAGGAAACGTCAACAGCTGATCTTTAAACGAGGAAACGTCAACAGCTGATCTTTAAACGAGGAACGACGGAGAAAACGTCAACAGCTGATCTTTAAACGAGGAACGACGGAGGAAACGTCAACAGCTGATCTTTAAACGAGGAACGATGGAGAAAACGTCAAAAGCTGATCTTTAAACGAGGAACGACGGAGAAAACGTCAACAGCTGATCTTTAAACGAGGAACGACGGAGGAAACGTCAACAGCTGATCTTTAAACGAGGAACGATGGAGAAAACGTCAAAAGCTGATCTTTAAACGAGGAACGATGGAGAAAACGTCAACAGCTGATCTTTAAACGAGGAACGACGGAGGAAACGTCAACAGCTGATCTTTAAACGAGGAACGATGGAGAAAACGTCAAAAGCTGATCTTTAAACGAGGAACGACGGAGGAAACGTCAACAGCTGATCTTTAAACGAGGAAACGTCAACAGCTGATCTTTAAACGAGGAACAACGGAGGAAACGTCAACAGCTGATCTTTAAACGAGGAACGACGGAGGAAACATCAACAGCTGATCTTTAAACGAGGAACGACAGAGGAAACATCAACAGCTGATCTTTAAACGAGGAACGATGGAGGAAACGTCAACAGCTGATCTTTAAACGAGGAAACGTCAACAGCTGATCTTTAAACGAGGAACGACGGAGAAAACGTCAACAGCTGATCTTTAAACGAGGAAACGTCAAAAGCTGATCTTTAAACGAGGAACGACGGAGGAAACGTCAACAGCTGATCTTTAAACGAGGAACGACGGAGGAAACGTCAACAGCTGATCTTTAAACGAGGAAACGTCAACAGCTGATCTTTAAACGAGGAACGACGGAGAAAACGTCAACAGCTGATCTTTAAACGAGGAACGACGGAGGAAACGTCAACAGCTGATCTTTAAACGAGGAACGACGGAGGAAACGTCAACAGCTGATCTTTAAACGAGGAACGACGGAGGAAACGTCAACAGCTGATCTTTAAACGAGGAACGACGGAGGAAACGTCAACAGCTGATCTTTAAACGAGGAAACGTCAACAGCTGATCTTTAAACGAGGAACGACGGAGAAAACGTCAACAGCTGATCTTTAAACGAGGAACGACGGAGGAAACGTCAACAGCTGATCTTTAAACGAGGAACGATGGAGAAAACGTCAAAAGCTGATCTTTAAACGAGGAACGACGGAGAAAACGTCAACAGCTGATCTTTAAACGAGGAACGACGGAGGAAACGTCAACAGCTGATCTTTAAACGAGGAACGATGGAGAAAACGTCAAAAGCTGATCTTTAAACGAGGAACGATGGAGAAAACGTCAACAGCTGATCTTTAAACGAGGAACGACGGAGGAAACGTCAACAGCTGATCTTTAAACGAGGAACGATGGAGAAAACGTCAAAAGCTGATCTTTAAACGAGGAACGACGGAGGAAACGTCAACAGCTGATCTTTAAACGAGGAAACGTCAACAGCTGATCTTTAAACGAGGAACAACGGAGGAAACGTCAACAGCTGATCTTTAAACGAGGAACGACGGAGGAAACATCAACAGCTGATCTTTAAACGAGGAACGACAGAGGAAACATCAACAGCTGATCTTTAAACGAGGAACGACAGAGGAAACATCAACAGCTGATCTTTAAACGAGGAACGACGGAGGAAACGTCAACAGCTGATCTTTAAACGAGGAACGACGGAGAAAACGTCAACAGCTGATCTTTAAACGAGGAAACGTCAACAGCTGATCTTTAAACGAGGAACGACGGAGGAAACGTGAACAGCTGATCTTTAAACGAGGAAACGTCAACAGCTGATCTTTAAACGAGGAACGACGGAGAAAACGTCAACAGCTGATCTTTAAACGAGGAAACGTCAACAGCTGATCTTTAAACGAGGAACGACGGAGGAAACGTGAACAGCTGATCTTTAAACGAGGAAACGTCAACAGCTGATCTTTAAACGAGGAACGACAGAGGAAACGTCAACAGCTGATCTTTAAACGAGGAACGACGGAGAAAACGTCAACAGCTGATCTTTAAACGAGGAAACGTCAACAGCTGATCTTTAAACGAGGAACGACGGAGAAAACGTCAACAGCTGATCTTTAAATGAGGAAACGTCAACAGCTGATCTTTAAACGAGGAACGACAGAGGAAACGTCAACAGCTGATCTTTAAACGAGGAACGATGGAGGAAACGTCAACAACTGATCTTTAAACGAGGAACGACGGAGAAAACGTCAACAGCTGATCTTTAAACGAGGAACGATGGAGGAAACGTCAACAACTGATCTTTAAACGAGGAACGATGGAGGAAACGTCAACAACTGATCTTTAAACGAGGAAACGTCAACAGCTGATCTTTAAACGAGGAACGACGGAGAAAACGTCAACAGCTGATCTTTAAACGAGGAAACGTCAACAGCTGATCTTTAAACGAGGAACGACGGAGAAAACGTCAACAGCTGATCTTTAAACGAGGAACGACGGAGAAAACGTCAACAGCTGATCTTTAAACAAGGAACGACGGAGGAAACGTCAACAGCTGATCTTTAAACGAGGAAACGTCAACAGCTGATCTTTAAACGAGGAAACGTCAACAGCTGATCTTTAAACGAGGAAACGTCAACAGCTGATCTTTAAACGAGGAACGACGGAGAAAACGTCAACAGCTGATCTTTAAACGAGGAACGACGGAGGAAACGTCAACAGCTGATCTTTAAACGAGGAAACGTCAACAGCTGATCTTTAAACGAGGAACGACGGAGAAAACGTCAACAGCTGATCTTTAAACAAGGAACGACGGAGGGAAACGTCAACAGCTGATCTTTAAACGAGGAAACGTCAACAGCTGATCTTTAAACGAGGAAACGTCAACAGCTGATCTTTAAACGAGGAACGACGGAGAAAACATCAACAGCTGATCTTTAAACGAGGAACGACGGAGAAAACGTCAACAGCTGATATTTAAACGAGGAACGACGGAGAAAACGTCAACAGCTGATCTTTAAACGAGGAACGACGGAGGAAACGTCAACAGCTGATCTTTAAACGAGGAAACGTCAACAGCTGATCTTTAAACGAGGAACGACGGAGAAAACGTCAACAGCTGATCTTTAAACGAGGAACGACGGAGGAAACGTCAACAGCTGATCTTTAAACGAGGAACGACGGAGAAAACGTCAACAGCTGATCTTTAAACGAGGAAACGTCAACAGCTGATCTTTAAACGAGGAACGATGGAGAAAACGTCAACAGCTGATCTTTAAACGAGGAACGATGGAGAAAACGTCAACAGCTGATCTTTAAACGAGGAACGACGGAGGAAACGTCAACAGCTGATCTTTAAACGAGGAACGACGGAGAAAACGTCAACAGCTGATCTTTAAACGAGGAACAACGGAGGAAACGTCAAGAACTGATCTTTAAACGAGGAACGACGGAGGAAACGTCAACAACTGATCTTTAAACGAGGAACGACGGAGAAAACGTCAACAGCTGATCTTTAAACGAGGAAACGTCAACAACTGATCTTTAAACGAGGAACGATGGAGAAAACGTCAACAGCTGATCTTTAAACGAGGAAACGTCAACAGCTGATCTTTAAACGAGGAACGACGGAGGAAACATCAACAACTGATCTTTAAACGAGGAACGATGGAGGAAACGTTAACAACTGATCTTTAAACGAGGAACGATGGAGAAAACGTCAACAGCTGATCTTTAAACGAGGAACGACGGAGAAAACGTCAACAGCTGATCTTTAAACGAGGAACGACGGAGAAAACATCAACAGCTGATCTTTAAACGAGGAACGACAGAGGAAACGTCAACAGCTGATCTTTAAACGAGGAAACGTCAACAGCTGATCTTTAAACGAGGAAACGTCAACAGCTGATCTTTAAACGAGGAACGACGGAGGAAACATCAACAACTGATCTTTAAACGAGGAACGATGGAGGAAACGTTAGCAACTGATCTTTAAACGAGGAACGATGGAGAAAACGTCAACAGC